CAAGGAGATCCAACCAGTCCATCCTAAAGGAGATCAGTCTTGGGTGTTCACTGAAAGTACTGATGTTGAAGCTGAAACTCCAGTACTTTGGCCGCCTGATGTCAAGAGCTGACTCATTGGAAAAAACCCTGATGCTGGGAAAGATTGAGGGCAGGAGGAAAGGGGACGATGGAGGATGAGATGGTTGGATGGCATCACCGACTCAATGGACATGGATTTGGGTGGACTCCGGGAGTTGGTGATGGACAGGGAGGCCTGGCATGCTGTGGTTCATGGGGTCACAAAGAGTTGTACACGACTGAGCGACTGAACTGAACTGAACTATAAACAATAGTCCTGCTTCTTTATTTTTTTAAGTAACTTTCTTGCAAATTGTTCCATGTTAGCATATAAAGAGCTATCTCACTTTTTGTAAACAATTGCAAGTATTATGATAAAATTTAACTGCTTACTTGATAAAATATTCTCAGAGAAATGTTGTCTCATTGTGATTATATATTTTTTCTTTTCCCTTTTATTCCTTCTGATGTTTGCTTTATATATCTTTGTTTCTTTGCTGTTAAGGTAGCTAATAGTTTATGATCTATCTTCTTTGTGAATTGTACCTTTTATCATTAAAAATATTTATCTTTGTTTCATTTAAAATAAATTACTTCTAAAAAATTTAACTGCTTATTTCAACGGATATTTAGTTTCATCCCAGAATTTGGTAATTATAGAAAAATCCTCCATGTAAATACATGTAAAAAAAAAAAAAAAAAAAAGATACACTATGGTTGTGATAAAATAAATAAATAAATTAATTAAAAAAAAATAGAAAAAAAAATCCTCCAATATAGCATGACATACCGTATTATTTGCCATAGAGCATATCCATAATATAGATCTCCTGCAGTGCAATTTCTGTGTCCAAAAAATATGTAAATTAAGCTTTGATAGATATTTAATGTTTAATAGAGCTTGTGCACTTACTATCCCGAAATAGCATCATTCAAAAGTGTCTGATTCCCTACATCTTTACCAACAAAGTGTGTTATGAATCTGTTTGATTTTGACAATAAAGCCTTTACCAATGGAAACAGTTGTCTTGAGTCATTTAAATTTACAGTTTCCTATTATTTGTGACACCAAGCATCTCTTTTTGGTATTTCTTTTATTTAAACTATCTGTTTATGTCATTGTGGATTAATAACACAAACACAATTTTGAGCAAAAAATAAGACACAAAGTAGTTTTTTCTATAAAATTTCATTTATTTATACATAACTCTAATCTCTGCTGTTATAAATTAGGACAGAATTTATTTGAGAGGGGATTTATTCCTAGAAGGTATAATAATGGGAATGAATAATAGTTACCATGGTTAGAAATCATTCCTAGAGACAAAGTCCAAGAGGCATTTCTCAAGTGCTTGTGATATTGTTTAACACAATTGACCAGGGGATGTTTGCATACACTAACACCTGTGGTTGGTGATTTGTTACATAAGTGAACACTGAAACATCTTCAGTCACTAAAGTTTCAGTAACAAAAGATGTATCAATATGTTTCTGGTCAAAACCTTGTTAATTATCTGGTGCTGATTACTTGGATGTTGTATTTGTTTCCTAGAGCTTCTATAACAAAGTAGCACAACTTGAGTGTCTTAAAAGAACAGAATTTTTTTTTTTCACAGCTCTGGAAGATAGAAGTTCAAAATAAAGTGGTTAGCAGGTCCTACATATGAGCATATTTGATTAGGCTTCTCTCTAAAGAGAGAACTAACTTTAACTTGATTGTATCCACCAAGACCTATTTCAAATAAGTCCATATTCTCAGGTACTGGGGGATTAGGACCTTGACATATATTTTGGGTTAGGACCTTAACATATATTTATATGTTAGGATCTCAACATATAAATATACAAGTATATTTATTTTGTGAAAATTAAACAAGCTCTACATTAATAGTCTGTGCAGTTCTGTGTGTTTTATTTACATTATGAATTTGTTTAATACAATAGATGATTTCATTTACATTAGGAAAAAAATTAAATACCTAGAAGTATCTGGAGTAAATATCAGAAGATATTCATTATTTCTATGTATAAAATATGAAGTTTACTGAAAATTATTAAAGAAGATATAAATTACTAGTGATATCTCTTGCCAATTGGTTGAAATATTTACTTACATTATAAATATTCAAACTCTACCCAAAGTAATCTAAACACTTAGTGTAACTAAAACAAACACCCTATCATTGTTTATCCTAGACCTTAATCAATTATTTCTAAAAATTTATAGTAGGACAAAGAGCCTAGAATAGATATTTTATTTCTAAAACTGAAGAATGGTAAGAGAGAATTTGGCATGGTAAATACAAAGCTACATATTATAAAGCAACCTTAATTTAGAAACTTGATAATGAAATAAGTCAGACAGAGACAAATAAATATTACATGATATCACATACATATGGAATCTGAAAAAGCCAAATTCAGAAAACAGAGAGAGAAGTGATTGTCACCAGGAACTGTGAGTGGACTGTGGAAATACTAATCAAAGGATATAAATTTCCAGTTATAAGATTAACAAATTATAGGGATCTAATGTACAGTATGATGAATAAGGTAATCATATTGTAGTATATACTTGGGAAGTTTCTAATAAACTAGATCTTCAAAGTTTTCATCACAAAAAAGAAATATATGTCTGTGATAAGAGAGATGTGCTAGTTAATGCAATGATGATAGTCATTTTGCAATACAAATGTATCAAATCAACATGCTTCACTTACACAATGTTGGATATTGATTATATCTCAGTAAAACTTTGGAATAAAGTCTTTGGGTCTATCAAAAAGATAGTACTTAGAAAGTAGAAAAAAAAAGTGACAACATGGAAAAATGTTTGCTGCAAATGTAACCAACAGTATGGGGACAGCCCCACCTATCACTGTCCCCATAGTAGTCATCCTATGCTGTCCACAGAGTCACCCCTAGAACATATGGCTCTGGTGACCAGAAGAGTCTGCTACTGGCCCCATTGGACAACTCTTACATAAGACCACTTCTCCAAGAACAAGACACCAGACCAAACTACCTAATACAGAGAAATAAACACAGAGAATTAGAGGAAATTATAGAGACAAAATGTTCTAAATGAAAGAGTAAGGTAAAATCACAGAAAAAGAAGTAAAATGGATATAATCAATCTACCTGACAGAGTTCAAGGAAATGATCATAGAGATGCTCAATGAACTCAGGAGAAGAAAGGATAAGCACAGTATTTTTAACAAAGAGTTAGAAAATAACAGAAGAAACACACAGAGCTGGAGAATTCAATAAAATTTTAAAATACACATGAAGGAATCAACAACAGATTAGATGACACAGATGAACAGTTCAGCAGTCTGGAAGAAAGAGTAGAGAAAATCACTTAAGTTGAAGAGAAAAAAAAAAAGAAAAGAAAAGACTTTCAAAAATAGAGGACAGTTTAAGACACACATTATGCAATTTAAGTGCACAAACAACTGTATCATACAGATCCCCAGGAAGAGATGGATCAGAAAACTCATATGAAGAAATGGGAGCAGAAAAGTTCCCTAACCCAAGAAACAAATATCCCTGTCGGAGAGGACAGATGGTACAAAAACATATGAACCCAAAGTGGTCCACAAAGAAACACATTATAAAGATAGTGGCAAAAATTGCAAATAAAAAGAGAATATTATTAATAAAATCATCAAGGGAAAAGCAACTGGTAATGTATAAAGGAGAGGCTTCCCTGGTAGTTCAGCTGGTAAAGAATCTGCCCACAATGCAGGAGACCTGGGTTCAGTCCCTGGGTTGGGAATATCCCCTGGAGAAGGGAAAGGTTACCCACTCCAGTATTCTGGCCTGGAGAATCCCCATGGACAGAGGAGACTGACAGGCTACAGTTCATGGGATCGCAAAGAGTCAGACAAGACTGAGTGACTAAGCACAGCACAGCAAAGTACAATGTACATGGGAACTCCTGCAAGACTATCATTTGGCTTTTCAGCAGAAACTTTCAAAAATATATCCACATGTGGTACAATTCTCACTGAAACCTAACTGCTGCTGCTAAGTCGCTTCAGTCGTGTCCAACTCTGTGCGACCCCATAGATGGCAGCCCACCAGGCTCCACCATCCCTGGGATTCTCCAGGCAAGAACACCGGAGTGGGTTACCATTTCCTTCTCCTAACTGGAAACTGGCAAAAGGACTCCTGCTTAACCAAGACTGTAAGAAAGATATACAAATTATCAGGTATGAACGGAAGAGAAGTGGTTGGGTCAGGACTGGTGCATCTTGGAGTGGACTCAGAGGAAAAGGGAGATTATACTGATGGAGACCCACTCATGGGTCAAGCCATGAATGGGGTGTCACAGTCTGGAGTCCTATGTGGGGGGGACAAATACCTGTGACTGATTGTAAGACTGCTGAAACAGATGGAAGGGCTGTGGGAAGCCTGGGCTTTGTTCTTAAGGAGTGTGCATGAACATGAGCACACTGGTTTGCCTCCAAGACCTGACAGACAAAGGTTTATAAATCTTGCTATTTCCTGTTTTTCCATTAAACCTCACCCATGTGGTTTACCACTGTAAACCTCTCGAACAATCTTAAATGTCTGTTTCATGCCAGAACCTTAACTGATATAGGTAGAAGCCCTTTTTATTTTTATATCCCTAACTTTTACAAATTTTTTTAGTTCATAAAGGATGTTTGCTAACTTTATTAAATAAATAATTACTAATATGAGCTCTCATAAGGAGACTACTCACTCCCAAGGAATTTATGGGTGGTAAATTTTCCTCACTTTGAGTACATTTAAAATTTGGAAATGTAACTGAAGTATTCTGCATGCAGTAAAAAAAATTTAAGTCATAACTAATAAAATTTTATAAAAGCAGCAACATATTTTATGCTCTTTAATTAATTAGGATTCACTAACAACTTGTATTAGCAAAATTGAGCTGCTATACAGTAAACTCACATACGTAACTTTTTCCAGATGAACAGTTAGCAGCATAAACATAATTTCCTTCAATATATGCACAACCATCTTTCTCCATTTTCAGGAATCCAAATCTGTAAAAAAAAATTAAAGCAATAAAATCTTCAAATGCCAATTTTATCTCAAGCTTAAAATTAACAAAACAAACAAAATGAGAAAGAATAAAAGAACAAACTAAACAAATAAAATAAGAACAAAACCCTGAAGATTGACAGTCTTTAAGCCAAGTTTAGCAGATAATGCTAAACAGTATCTAATCCTGTTTGTTTAAATATAATTATAAGCCAAATGACAATTTATAAACCAAAGGAAATCAATCCTGAATATTCTTTGGAAGAAGCTGAAGCTCCAATACTTTGGCCACCTGATGTGAAAAGCTGACTCATTGGGAAAGACCCTGATGTAGGGAGAGATTAAGGGGAAGAGGAGAAGAGGGTGGTAGAGGATGAGATGTTTGGATGGCATCCCTGACCCAATGGACATGACTTTGAGCAAACCCAGGAAGTTAGTGAAGGACAGGGAAGACAGTCCATTGGGTCACAGAAATGGAAATGACTTAGCGACTGGGCAACAACAAAAGCAAATCACAAATGATAAAACTATGATAGAAACATATAGATTTACAAACTTGGCTAAAACTATGCCCAAATTTCTTCTAAGAGTCCAGTAATGTTAACAATGTAAAGGTTCTAAAGCTGAGATTATTTAGAAAGAACTGACACTTCTTCCCCAATTAAATCACATAGACTGATACTCAAAACACATAATGATTTCCTGTATCTTGGTTGCTCTTTCTGTTCCCTACACACATAACACACACACACACACACACACACACACACACACACACACACATACAACCACATATAATCTAGAAAAGTTCAGTTATCAAAACACCATACTTACAGGTTTTCAGTTACTGTGGTGCCATCCTCCCATAACCAGGATTCACTGGTTTCATTGATTTTGAGACCTATCCATCCTTTTACTTCAAGCATTGATAAAAGTTCCTATTCGGAAACAGTCATAAACCATAAATGTGAGCATATTATAATTCACTCCTTTCTGATTCAAAGATTATTGGTTAAATTTCTCCCAAGGGCTTGCACACATCTACTTAGTATTAATAAGATTTTTTCTAAAGATATCTCATTTATTAATGTGTTTTTTTCCTAGAATTAAATGTTCAAAAAGTGGAGTTTCTTTAATTTCTCCCTAATAAAACTGAGTCAAAGAAAGAAAATATCATAGACTTTTGAGAACTTCAGTTTTCCCAAATTATAGCATCAATCACTAATGTTTTCAAGCCAAATACAGTTACAGTATAACAACAACAACAACAACAACATAAACAAACAAATAAACAAAAGCAGAAGTGTCTCCCCTACCAGCTCTGCCTTGATATCGATCTTTAGAAGGTGGGTATTTAGCTCTTCACAGGCAGCATGGCTCTCCACCCAGGTTTTGGCTTTACTGGAAAGATGATAAGAACTACTTCCAAATCCAATCCAGTGAGTTGAACAATGGTCACAGGAACATTCTAGAAAGTAAAAATATATTTAATGTGTACTCTGTACAGTAAGTCACTACTACTAACACAATTCCCATATCTTCCTGTTTGTTATACAGATGGATATTAGGTAAGAAGAAAAACAAGCATTTTTTGGTAACATTTCTGGGCAAGTTTTAAACAAAACCATAGCTAACAATAATTAAGATTTAGCTCATATTTTTAATTTTTCTACTTAAAATCTGTTATAAAATTTTATCCATAGGGAAAACACATTTCAAATATAAGTTTTTTGATGTGATCAAAATTATACATGCATATTTAAAAGGCTAGGGTCTCCCGTCTTACTCCAGTAACTAAGACTCTGAGCCCTCAAGCAGGAGGCCCAGGCTTGATCCCTGGTCAGGGAACTGGATCCTACATGTTGCAACTAAGAGTTTGCATGTGGCAACTAGAACTATCCCACATACCACAAAGAAGATGGACAATCCCATGTGCTGCAACTAAGACTCAGCACAGCCAAATAAATAACTGAATAAATAAATGTCATAAAAGAAAAGTTAATCAACATATAATCATATGAACACAAAAAGCCACTAATGAGCTATTTCACTTTTGTCAAAATTTTTGCTATTAATTTAAATATTCCTTGCCATTTCCTTCTCCAGGAGATCTACCCTACCAAGGGATTGAACCTCAGTCTCCGGCATTGCAGGCAGTTTCTTTACCAACTTAGCCACCAGGGAAGCGATTTAAATACACAGAATAAAATTCAGTAAGTAATTTTTAAAAACTTATACTTCAACAATTTAATAATCATGTAATTTGTGTATTTTAATAATTTTTTATAATCATAAAAAACGTAGACTTAGGGAGGGGAAACAAGATGGTGGAGTAGGAGGACAAGGAACTCATCTTCCTACAGGCACATCAAAAAAACATCTACATGTATAACAATGCTCATGAAAAACTAACTGGAAACTGGCAGGACTCCTATAAAACCAAAACAGCAGGAAACGTGTAACCGGGTAGGATGGGGACAAAAGGCATCGTTTCAGGTCCTGCACCCCTGGGAGGGGTCTGATACGAGGAGAAGGACCTTCACCCTAAAGAGCGAGCAGGGTGAGCCACAATCTGGGCATTCCGGTCCTGAGTCCTGTGCTCCGGAGACAAACCCCCTCGTCTGCTGAGACAACTGCTGGGACAGATAGAAGTGCTGGAGAAGCCTATATAGACTCTGCTTTTGAGGGGTGTGCATGGGCTGGTTTGCCAACAATCCGGGTGGAGAGAGCCTTGGGCTTGTGGCTACTGCATCAACAGACTTTTTAATCCAAATGGGTGATCCCCCCAACCCTGCTCACTCCACACCACAACCTGGTGTGATATCTGGGACAACCAGATATCTGGGAAAAGACTGTCTAGCTACACAGAGAGAGACCGGGAGGCTTGGGGAGTGATGGGGCGAAGAGAGGGGTAGTGATCCCTGTCAGTGTACATACAAGGTGACAGATGGGGCAGCTATGAATATAGCTGCTATAGGGGTAGCACCCCAGGAGTCTCATGGCTTAATGCTGAGTCTCAGGCAGACAGGTGTTGGGAGAGGACTTGATATAGCAACACAGAGACTGCCTGGAGGGGCTGAGCTGTGGTTTGGGTGGGGCAGCAGCAGCCATTCTCAGCACCCACAGGAGTAGCTAGTGGTTCCTCTCCCAGGGAGAGCATCCCAGCTCCACACACTCTGTACCATATCTTAGAGGTCCATCTGCGACAGACTGGTCTCGGGGGGAAAATGCCACAGAGACTGTCCACATCTCTGTCAGCTGCACTTTCTGCTGCCACGATGCCCTGACCCCCAAACCCAGCCTTCTGCACTACAGCCTTGTGCTTGATCAGGGATGAACACAACAGAGGAAGGGATGCAAGCCCAGGTTGCCTCTGAGCCTGGGGAATCCCATGGACAGAGGAACCTGGCAGGCTACAGTCCACAGAGTTATCATTTACACATTATAAAAGACAGTTTTGAAATACACAATTTGATAAGTTTTGATAAATGAATATACCTCTGTAATTTCCCCTGCAATTAAATTTTAGAATATTTCCATCAACACAGAAGTTAATATATGTTACTTCCCAACTAATGTTCCACACCCCTACTTCACCCGAACAACCATGGATCTGATTTATATCACTGCAAATTATTTTTTTACCTTTTTAAGAAGCTCATATAAACATAATCCTTCAAGATTGATTCTTTTGCATCTTTTCCCACTCAGTATGTCTTTGAATCTTATCTATTGTGTATATAGAGATTTCATTCCTTTTCATTATTGAGTAGTCCATTATTTACTAACCCACAATTTGTAATCCATTCATCTGGAGGTTTATATTTGGATTGCTTATAATTTTTTGTTATTACATATAAAGTGTCTCTAGATACTTTTGTACATGTATTATGTGGATATATGCCTTCATTTCTCTTTTTTAAATGTCGAAGAATAGGCTTGTTAAGGGCTTGTGTCAGTACAGTTAACTCCACATTCTTAGTAATGCTTGTTACTGTCAGTCTTCAAATTCTAACCATATTGGTGGTTGTGTAATGCTAACTCATTGGGGTTATAATTTTCATTTCCTTAATTTCCTGTTTGATTGCTTTTTATTTTCAAATTAGGTCAATGAAAGGAAAACAAAAACACAAGCAATGTGAATGGCTAAGATTTGACACTGATTTTTTTTTTTTCTGAGAGACAACAAGTAGTTTCTCAAGTCAATCACTAATTTAAACAAAAAAATAACAACTGGTGTCTCTAGTCTCTGTTTATTGCATCTGTTGAGATTTTCTCTTTTTAACTCAAAGAATTTATTTTTAATTAGACCTGAAATTAGTTCTTTCCATCTTTTTAAATCTTTACTTAGACTTCCTCTTTCATAAATGTTTGGTCCTTTTTAATTTCTTAGGGAGTGTTAAACCAAAATATTTTTATGTCATGCAAAAACTACTGCATTATTTTTATTATTTTCCTTTTTTTTTTTCTTTCTTTATCCCCCCTGCTTATAGGAAATGTTCATCAGGAATACTCATGAGGAATGTCTTTGGCCTCAGTGACAGAGGGACCCTACCCTTTTGGTTTTAGTGTATGGAAAAAGAGATACCCTTCTTGGCAAATGTATCTGTGCTGAGAATCTAACACTGTTATTGAAAAAGGAAAGATTTCCCTAAAAAAAGTCAGAGGGGAACCATCCCAACTTCCTGAAAAAAGAGACAGAAACATTCTCTCCCTTTCTCTCATAGTCTTTCTCTTTCTTTTAAGTGCTGAATTTACTGCTAGGAATTTGAGTAAACTTGCAATAAGTGAAAAAAAAAAAGAAAAAATTCAAAACAATAACAGCTTTCTATATCTAGCCATTGTATCAATGTATAAATAAAATTAATATATTTTAATAAAATCAAAATGCTTCTAACTTCATAAATGCTAGAGAAATCATCTCCATCAGGGAAAGCTAGAAACAAAACTCCTTTGCTTTTCATTTGTTTTCTTTTCTTTTTTGCCCTCTTCACCCATTTCTCTTGCTCCCACCTTAATATAATTTATACCCCATTTTTTCCCAAAAATAATCAAATCACAAACAATACTTATCTATTATACATAATACTTTGGGTCTTCTTGCATTCTCCTATGTCATCTTTCTCATCTTGCCCAATATTAATAGTTCTGTGATAAAAGGTTGAACATATCATAAAAGAGGATTTTTCTATCTGATTCACTGAAGTTTTATGAATGTTAGGAAAACAAACATTTTAACCCTAATAATCAATATTGCTACTGCTACTGCTGCTAAGTCGCTTCAGTCATGTCTGACCCTCACCCGTCCCTGGGATTTTCCAGGCAAGAACACTGGAGTAGATTGCATTGCCTTCTCCAAATAATCAATATTAGAAGTGGACAAGACAGAGAGAGTACTCACCATCATTTTTAGAAGATAGAGTGGGAACAGGTGATATTTTTTGGTTTGGGTCTCCTTTGTTGGAAAATACTATGGCAAAAATCATGGTAATAATTAGTTTTGTTGAGGATAAAATAATGAGGACAATAAAAATTCAGTCTTGATTACAAATCATTGAAACATATTATGTTGTTGATATATTGACTGTACCAAGGACAGATTATTTTCTTAATTACTTACAGTTTACAAGCAAGACACACACTGTTATCAACAAGACCACACACAGGGTCCCCAGACTCCCAGTTATCACTTGCCAGGCTGTAGATCGGTGGTGTAACACTAAAGGAGACAGAAACAATGATGGTTTCATCATTTCCCACAAACCATCAAATATGAAATTTAAATCCATTATGTTTCACTCCCAGAGGGCAGTCATTCATTTTCCAATCCTTGTATGAGTTCTTTGATACTCAGATTTCCTCCTTTTTCACTTTTTCTTGACCTCAATTCTTTCTGATCCTATTTAAGGCCCCCAAAATGTCACCTGACTCACCAGCATCTTTGAGTATCCCTCGCCTAGTCATCTATAAATTATTAACTCTGAGCAATTTGAAAATATACTCTCAGCTAGGAGACTTAAAAATGAAATACACCTAGAGAAAACAATGCTGTCATGTAAAAAATATTATTTTCACAATTCTATGTGAATATTAATATTCACTCAGCCAACCAATCAGTCAAGGGGGAAATAGCAAAATACATTTTTGCTCTTTGTTGAGATAAGGAATACTTATCATAAATTTTGCAAAGACATACAAGTATCTTCACCAAGTTTTAACCTGGACACATGAGAACAGGAAATACATTTATCAAAAAAGAAAGACATTTCACTGAAAGCTGGTGGAAAGTAAGAGCTAATTATTTCCTGAATTACGAAAGACATGGAGGAGGTCTTCCACTTGGGGTTGTTGTTTAGGCTCTAAGTCCTGTCTGACTCTTTTGTGACCCTGTGGACTGTAATCCACCTGGCTCCTTGGTCCATGGGATTTCCTAAGCAACAATACTGCAGTGGGTTGCCATTTCCTGCTCCAGAGGATCTTCCTGGCCCAGGGATCAAACTCGAGGAGAGTCATCAATAAATGGTTTTAGATGACAGGAAGTTTGATGTATTCAGGGAACTGAAATTATAGTCTGACGGAAATTCAGGGAGCAAAGGGGGAATGGAAGTGGAGAGAGAACCTGTAAGACTATAGGATTATTGTTGTTTCTAACTTTAAGAACGGAGAAGGCAATGGCACCCCACTCCAGTCCTCTTGCCTGGAAAATCCCATGGACGGAGGGGCCTGGTAGGCTGCAGTCCATGGGGTCACGAAGAGTCGGACAGGACTGAGTGACTTCACTTTCACTTTTCACTTTCATGCACTGGAGATGGAAATGGCAACCCACTCCAGTGTTCTTGCCTGGAGAATCCCAGGGATGGGAGCCTGGTGGGCTGCTGTCTATGGGGTCACACAGCTTTGGACATGACTGAAGTGCCTTAGCAGCAGCAGCAGCAGCTTTAAGAACAGTATGAAATCTTTGCAGACACTAATTTTAAAAAGATATGACCATTTTTATTGAAACTTAAGAAAGGATTGAAAAATGTGTAGAGTGGAAGATGAGAAACGTTGAGAGAGTCTGTGTCAGTAATCTTCGTGAAAGCAGGTAGACATCAATCCAAGAGAGAAGCCGGTTATTTGAACATGTGGTCCTTTTCAAGATTGCTTGAATGTGTCATAGATGAAAGAGTGTGAGGAATCAAATTTTCAAGTTTAGAAATTAAACATGTAAATCCATGTAAATACATGTAAAAATACATGTAAATCTATGGCTAATTCATTTCAATGTATGACAAAAACCACTACAATGATGTAAAGTAATTAGCCTCCAACTAATAAAAATAAATGAAAAAAAAAAAGAAATTAAACAGTGTGGTGGATAAATATTAGCATGTCTAATCTTAGTTTTGGTCAACTTCTGCCCAAAGTCTGTCTTTGACTACAAAAGAAAAATTATCAAGCCTCAGTAAGACTCTAACTCAAGCACCAAGAAATTTATTATTTTACAAGGAAGTTGAAACCATGAATTTCCTTATCTTGACCACCTTCCTGAATGTATGAATATTCATGTATTCTACCTTACTATATGGATATTCATATATTCAACCTTATTATCTTGTTTTCAATTCAGAGGAAAAGCAATTTCTTTATGGCCCAAGTTAAAACCTACTGTATGCCCTAATTACTCCATGCCACCCAGTCTCCTTTAGAACATTTATTTTCTAAGAGAAAGTTTCTCTTTTTTGCCAGCTTCTTCATCATCTCTTTCTATAAATTTTGTCACATCTGTCCACGTATGGTCTCAGACCTCTCAAAATCTAATGTAATTCCTTATTATTCATACAGGTCTTTCATTTATTATCATCATTTCTCTTATGTTGTTTTTTTCTCAGTGAAAATTGTAAAAATGTTTTCTGGACTAATTTTATTCCCATAATAAATTTCTTTCAACCTCTTAACCCTTAGTTGTAGCTTATATGCTTTTCTTGGCACTCAAACAGAAATCCCAATTTTTTGGACTTTGCCAAATCCCAAATTTTTGGAATTTACTAAGTCCAAAGAAATAATTTTCCACTTGCCATTTATTAGACATAGTTTATTTTCTCCTTCTCTCTGGACATGCATTTCGTATCCTTCTTGAATCTTCCTCTGCTTAAGTCATAAATGTTCTTTTTCTCTGTGATAGACTTTTCACCCATAGTGCCTCTGTTTGCAATCTTACCTACTAACATAAGTCTTTCCTACCCTTTTCCATCCTCTTCTGGGACATCTAGCCTTTAAAATCCAATTTCTTTATGGACATTTTCCTCTGAACTGATCAAGAGACAATTCAAATTTCATATATGATCTGCCTTTACTAGATTAAACATATTTTTCTTAATGGTGAGTAAGATGATTAACTACTCAGTCACTTAGGTTAGGAACACTGTTATCATATTCTCATTTTTCAGCTTTAACTCCAATATCCAATTAATCATTATTATATTTTTTCTGTAATCTATCTTTCCTCTAACAAATTCTGTTAATTTTTTTGAAGCTAAGTGGTTATTGCAGCTTCATCTTTATAGGTATCATAGGTCTGGATCAGAGTCACAGCAAAAATTCAAAAACAGTTGTGGGAATGAGTTACATTGAATTGAATTGAAAACTAATAACAAGAATTATTTTTAAAATTATTTTAAAAATAAGCAGTAGAATTTACACAATAATTCTCACAAGTAATACAATTTTGTAAGAATATTTTAGAGAAAATGAACATAGTGAAGGATTATTTAAGAGGCAAAAAATTTCATGGTAATATCTAAAATAACTAAGGAGAGTGCTGAAGATAGGTAATCAGTGTAATGAGGCAAATTTATTATACAAAGGTGTTGAAAGAAGTAATTTTCTAAACCCAAGAATCAAGATCTAGCAAATAGCAAAATATAATACATATAAAAATGTACCATTTCCTTTTTTCTGTTTTCTGTGCTGATGGTGGGAAGATCTGGGAAATTTCAGTTCCATGTAGTCTACTTGCTCTTCTCTTGACTGGACATTACTCTGATTTGTCTTGGATGTTTTTTGCTGTTGAGACTTGGAAAATTTTGGTTCTGTGTAGATTAGCTCTTGCTTGTTTACAATATCTTTGTTTTGCTTACTCTTAAGCATTTTTTCTTTTTTAAAACTTAGACTGCTTCAGCTCAATCTGGGTATCTTTCTATGTCTCTCTTTAATATCTGTGTAGTAGAGAAAAGTGAGGGAAAAGGTTAAGTGGTGATTATATCAAATCAGACAGTGAAAAATACATTCATTCTGAAGTACAAGTAAGCTTTTAGGTATAACATTAGAAGGATAAAAAAGGGAGGAAATGAGAGATTAAATTTCCCTCTCACTTTGCAGTCCTTATTCAGAAAAATAGTTTTATTCTCCTTTAATAAAATTAATAAGATACATTTCATTTCCTTTCTGAATCAGGGTTTCAAAGGAGTAGGTTTAAAATAGATATGTTTTCCCTTCTCAACATTCTTGATATAATGAATAGTGTCGACAATGTGTTAACTATGGTTAAAACACAGCTATATTAACAAAGGTTTAATTACTTAAATTTAATATTAAAATTTTTATTTCAAATCACATTGACATAAAGTTTACTCTATCACTGAAATAATTAATTAGGCAGTAGATTCTTGACTAATGGAGGGGGAAAAACCTATGTCTTTCATGAACTAGGTAAATTCTACATTTGCCTAACAACCATGTATCTCTCAATCTGCCAACCTAACATCATTTTTCTACTTAACTAGATCATATTTATTTGCAAGCACACACACACACACACACACACACACATACAGGGCAAACAAGCCATCTAAAATTAAGAAACAATACCAATGAATTGCCAAAAAGGGACAAAAGAAATTAAAAGGTCATGCATAAAATTTTTAAAATTTATTGGCTCATTAATAAAGAAAGAAATAAAAATGAAAATAATAGAGCACATTTCACCTGCGATAACACTAAATAATTAATATTTTGTTGAATTGGCACATGATTGTGAGTACAAAATTATCAATATTTATGAAAGCATAAAGTAAGTAGAATTTTAACCAGCAATTCTATCTTAAGTAATTTATCTTACAAAATATTATTTAAATATTCAAAGTTATGCAGAACCTATCTTTTGTTTTTATTTACTAAGAGCTAAATTGGAAAAACAAAGAACAAAAAGTTATCAACAGAATTCACAATTAAGGAAGGTGTTAAAGCTATGGTACATTTATACCGTAGTATACTATTGTTTAATGTAACAGATATTATTTTTATATATTATTATATTGTATAATGGAATATATATTTTTAAAGCAAAATAATAGATTTCTCAATAGGCTGTATTTTCAGTGGTTACTTGTAGGTAGAGTTTTGGCATACATTGCTCTCTATTTTATTGAAAATAAAAGAATGCATGATACAAGCCATTTATTTATTTTTTGTTATTTATTTTACACTTTTTAAAAAATTTTTAATATTTAGAAGTATTGAACAACAAAAAATTTTATTCATAAAGCCTTTCCACATCCTATATTTATCCTTCTATAAATTTACTAGGAGTAAATTTTGAAAAAACTGGAATAAACTTATTTTCAAATTAAGAATTTTTCTCACCTCCTCGAATTGTTTTCTGAAAGTTTTGACCAATTCATTTAGCACCAGCAAAAACTTGATACTTAAGAGTATACTGACGTTGTAAGAATGTTGCTGTTTAAATGTTTAGCACAATTAAACTGCGTTTTTCTTTGTACCAAAAAAGAAAGAAAAATGACTATTGTATTTGAGAGCTGATAATTAATAAGCATGATCTAGGAAATGCTAAAAGTGATAGAATCAGATGGAATATTAGTTCAAATTGAAGCAATACATAGACTTAGATCACAAATTTCACAACATATACTTGAACAAATTTTAGATAAATCAAAATGTTAAATGCAAACCATGAGATGATAAAATTAATAAAGCATTCAAAGAAAGTATAAGTAAATAGTTACAAGTTTCTAATCACACATAGACAAGAAAGTTAGGTTGAATTATAAAAAATCATTTTATTGCTAATGTAAAGACTTTTTTGTCAATAATAACAACATGAAAAGACTTTTTCTTCATCACTTAACAAAGAAATACAGACTAACATGTTAATGATATAGATGTTAACCTACAGAATCAGTAAATCAAATTCAACCAAACAGAGTTGGACAATGTGCAGGAAAACAGACATTCATTTACACAGATTTTTGATTAATTTATATCTTTCCCTCTGGAAAATAATTAGCCAGTATGTATGGAAACCCAATAATGAAAACATCAACTGATCCAACATTTTAAAATAATGAGAAAAATATGGGTTATTTAATAAAAGAGGCTAAACAGTTGGAGAAAAAAACAACAGGAAAATTCCAAGGCAAAGAATCAAAAAATACAAAAGATAGCTGCATTCATACTCCACACCATTGTTTACAAAATGAGCATGTAACATAATTTTACAGAAATAATTTTTTTCCTAAACTGCAGTACATTATGAGTTGATTGTTGATATAACTGTCAAAAATTATATACAATTTTAACTTCTTGAGAAAAGGAAATAAATAGAAACAATTATACTCACCAACTTGAAGAATAAATTTAAAAATAAACTTTGTAGGAAAATCAAAGATACTAAACAATATAAAATTGCTGTATGCTGAAAATAAAGTTATACAGTAGATAATCTGGTATAAGAACCTTCAGGGAAGATTTTTGGTTGAAAAATAATCTAATGACTTATAATCACTTGTTATTCAAAGCATGTGTGAAAAACTACAAAGGAAGTTTTCATGAAGCTACTCATTTGTAGTTTACCTCCCCCACAAAATACCAATCAGAAAATAAAAAAATACCTTTGGTATTTCAAAAAGGATTTCATAAATTATAAATTTTCAACTTAAGATGTATAAGAAAAATATTACTTTTAGTGACTGCTTAATAAGAGTATTTTAATATCAAAGCTGAGACCTTAAAGGAAAAGAAAAATGGACCAATTACATATTGTATTAGAGATTACACGAAATAAAAGTACCATGGGATACATGGGAAAGTACGTAGTTGTGACAATAAAAATTATGTTTTAGGCTTTCCTGGTTAAATTATAATAGATAATCCTTAATTCTTGGTTACTACTTAGTGATAGTTGATATCACCACCCAGAGAATGAAGTTTATTTTTACCTTGTGTTTATTATAGCATACAATATAGTTTATCAGCTTAATATCAGCTTCCCTGATGGCTCAGTTGGTAAAGAATCAGCCTTCAATGCAGGAGACCCCAATTGGATTTCTTGGTGGGGAAGATCTGCTGCAGAAGGGATAGGCTACCCACTCCAGTGTTCTTGGGCTTCCCTTGTGGTTCAGCTGGTAAAGAATCCACCTGCAATGCAGGAGACCTGGATTCAATCCCTGGGTTGGGAAGATACCCTAGAGAAGGACATGGCAACCCACTCCAGTATTCTGACCTGGAGAATTCCATGGACTCTATAGTCCCTGGAGTCCTAAAGAGTTGGGCATGACTGAGCGACTTTCACTTTCACTTTCATAATATAGTTTAATATAGTCGTGTAAAGGTCCATCTAGTAAAGGCTATGGTTTTTCCAGTGGTCATGTATGGATGTGAGAGTTGGACAGTGAAGAAAGCTGAGTGCTGAGAAACTGATGGTGTTGAACTGTGATGTTGGAGAAGACTCTTGAGAGTCCCTTGGACTGCAAGGAGATCCAACCAGTCAATCCTAAAGGAAATCAGTCCTGGGTGTTCATTGGAAGGACTGATGCTGAAGCTGAAACTCCAATTCTTTGGCCGCCTAATGTGAAGAGTTGACTCATTGGAAAAGACCCTGATGCTGGGAGGGATTGGGGGCAGGAGAAGGGGGATGACAGAGGATGAGATGGCTGGATGGCATCACCAACTCGATGGACATGAGTTTGAGTAAACTCTGGGAATTTGTGATGGACAGGGAGGCCTGGCATGCTGTGATTCATGGGGCCACAAAGAGTCGGACACTACTGAGCGACTGAACTGAACTGAACTCTGTGTGTGTGTGTGTGTGTGTGTGTGTGTGTTAGTTTCTCAGTCATGTCTGACTCTTTGTGACCCCATGGATTGTAGCCTGTCAGACTCCTCTGTCCATGGGATTATCCAGGCAAGAATACTGGAATGGTTAGCCATTCCCTTTTACAGGAGACCTTCTAAACCCAGGAATCAAACCTGGGTCTCCCAGGCAGGCAGATTCTTTAATGTCTGAGCCGCTTGGGAAACTTGGTGTGTTATAATAAATAACTATACATATAATTTTTCAATGTATGACAAAACCACTGCAATGATGTAAAGTAATTAGCCTCCAACTAATAAAAATAAATGGAAAAAAAAATAACTATACATATAATTTGAAAGACTGCCATGATCAACAGCTTATGGGTAAAAAAAAAAAAACATTTTAATATAAATTTCCAAATGTGTCTCTTGTTAGTTTGTACCTGATGACTAAACACAGTACAGACATCTCTTTTTCAAGTCTCTTCCACTTATTTATGACTCTAACATTCATTTTCCCTCCTCTCATCATGGCTTATGTGCTCCCAGGCATCCTCATTATTGACCAGGCTGATGAATCACAGTATTCTGATCCATCAATGTCCATATGAACCATCCTCTTATATACTGATTACAAAATTTCTCTGTCTCCTCATCTACAGTAACTTCCTCATTCTGCCACAGCCAAGTCCTCCTATGGGAACACCTTGGTCTTTGAATATCTTTAAGTATTTCATCTCAAAAAACATCTTACATAAACTTAGCACCCTCCACAAACACTCTTACCTTTCAAGATTGCTCATTTATCTCTCTCCAGCATGAAAATGCTCTGATCTCATTGATGTCTGCAGCCCATTTGACCTCATTCCTCTCTATCAGTATATTTCTTTCTTCACCTTCTTTCAGGTCAAATCTGATTCTCTTCTGCCAATCACTAACTTCCTTGAACATTTTCTGGTCCCACTTGTTCAGTAAAATCACCCTATGTATGAGATAAATTATCTGTTCCTCTCCATCAACACCTGAGACACCAAGTGCTTTTTCGAAAAGATCAGATT